GAGGGTGCTGGCGATTGACAGGCCGGCAGAGCAGTGGTGCCAGTGTGCGAGCTGGTGGTTGACAGGCCGGCAGAGCAGTGGTGCCAGGTGCTAGCAATTGACAGGCCGGCAGAACCGTGCTGGGGCTAGCAATCAACAGGCCGAACAGAGCAGCGGTGCATGGGCCGGGCAGCCCTGGTGGTGAGCTCGTCTGCATCGTCGCCGGTTGGGCCAAAGCGCCGGCCGAGTCGAGGTGCCAATGTGGAGACGATATGGTGACGGCCCGCCCGAGAGGTATCATTGACGGTGGCAGTGGTATCAGTAGCGCCGATGCCGGAAGCCCCAACGCTGAAGCAGCCGCCCCGATGGTGCCCAGCTACAGTGGGAAGCATCCCTTCTCTGGTAGCGGGAGCGGCCGCATGCCGCTGGCCCGACATCATCGAGGGAAATGACATGCCGCTGGCTCGAGGTCTTCGGGCTTAGGTACCTGCACTATGTGAGCAAAGACACTACCTAGAACATCATCAGGGTCGTCGACGAGCGACGCTATGAGAGATACTTGGTCGCCTACGTATACAACGGGGTGTGACGGAGTCTCGTTGCGCCGCTTCGCGTCCATGAGATGGCGGCGAACGATAAATTGAGATCTTTTGCTATGCAACTGGTTAACAAGGGTTTAATGTGGAGTAAGAACAAACCTACGCTGAATAGTCATCAATGCGTAGACGTAACTTTAGTCTTTCGCGATCCTGCTGGAGCATAGCGGTGAGTTCCTCGATGGAGGGGTCGCGCCAGTGGTAAGGTGAGTCGAAGGGGAGGTCTAAAGGCTGCATAGTGAGGGTAGAGAGCAGGACCACTGACGTGCCTGCGGCGTGGATTCCCCTTTAAATATGTGGTAGCGAGGGGCAAATCTCAAAAGGAAGACTCATTACTCACTTTAAGAAGAGACCTTGTATCAGCGGCAGGTCAAACCTGAGTAGCGCAGACGCCGGACAAAATAGCCAGAATGGCTAACAACCTTTAAATTCAACATGACAAGAGTGAGATTGGTATCAGTACACGCAAGTATGGCAAGATAATTGTGATATTCTGACCTTGGTAGCGAGCTCTCAATGAATATATGACACGGGGTGAAGCTTCGAGATCAGCTGTGATCGGATGACTGAGTGTCCGCTCACTTTCATAGTCATTATTGAATAGTCTCATGTGCGCATCGACGCAGGGATGCATCTTGACTCGGGAGAAGGGGAGGGGCCTAAGTAAGCACTGCACAAGCACGACCGGCTGGATACGGTTTGTCAGGCTGTTGTTTGAACCTTCAAGCTTCAAGCTCAAGCTTGAAGGCGTTGTGCTACGGTCGATTTGTTCATTACATAATATCGCGCCCTCGGGCCTCCGCTATTTGCCGGCCGCTATCTCGGAACTTAAGATTGTCCTTGTTAGGCTTGACGCGCCTGCCGCTTGGCGTGCCGGTGGCGTTGAAGTTTGGTTGAGACGATAGTAACGTATGAGAATAGAATAGTGGTTTACATATGAAGCCAAATCTTCAAATCTCAAGATGTTATTGTAAGTAACTAGCAATAAGATATCTACTCGATCCGTCGGGTTTGATACAGAAGTCGACCTTCATTACGCATGCTAGCGAGGGCCAATGCGTCCTCAAAAGCCATGGTACCTAATACGTCTTCGACGGCCCTGTTAACCTCAGCAATCCTATACACCTGCGCCTGGACACGAACATTCTCGGGTATGGATGCGTGACACCTATATTCTACCGCCGCCCCCATGAGAACGGCAAGCCCTGAATGAACACCGAACACTTCATCGCGAAGATGTTCTCTAATCGCGTCAGATCGTGCCTCGATGAAACCGAGGCATAGATCATCCAAGCGGCCCGTGATATCGCCGCCGAAGAGAGAAAGAAGCCGCGCGGAGATTTCACCAGCACTAGAAAGGGCAAAGGACTCCGTCATAGAGCCAAGGTTCCCGCTAAGGTTCGATGTCGGCGTGGGGCTCGCCCGCGTGTTCGGACACGAGCTCTGATAGGCGCTGAGAGACTTCTCTGGGCTAGGGGATGGACTAGATGGCCAGGTAGGGCTGGACCAAGTGTCCCATCGGCGGGATGATGTAGGCGTTACTGGTGATGAGACAGCGGTAGGGGACATATGGTGGTAGCTTTCGGTGGCAGGTTTCTGTAAACCTGCGAAGGCTTGTATTTTGCTGAGCTTAGCTGTTAGCATATTCGACGCGTCATAGGGAGAATTACTAAACATACATTTGGCTCTCCATCTCCTGTTCATATCTATAGAAATATGGGTTATCCCCGGTATGCAGATTCGAAGGTATAACGAATAACTCACAGTGGTTCTAACAACGAGCGCGGTTCACATATGCTTAGCTCTGCATGGGTTGATACAGGCTCATCGAGGACGTTCAAATCCTGTCTAAAAGTGCAGACGAACGGGATAAGGATCACCACAATGCAGAAGAGAGTTTTAATGCCACAGACTTAGGTTGGCTACTAGTACGCCTAGACGTGTACACACGACTTTGGCGTTTGATTCCGTCCTCGCCTTGAGCTGTGAGTCTGCATGCAGAGTTAGCACTCGCAGTACAACCATAACTCATAGAAATCGTACGATGTATTTTTACGCTGAGCCTTCCGCTTCATTCTGGCGTTTGAATTGATTTCCTGACGGTTTCTACAAGCATGAGACATCGGTAAAATAGAAGATAACAAGGAGACCTACTTCGCATAGTAGTTCGAATTCCAAAGGCGCTGTGCAGACTTTTTCTCCTCCTCACTTTTGTGGATCTTAGGGCGGCCCATACTTTGTGACCAGGAGAGAGCGGCGCGGAGGGGAAGAGCAGCGTAGCAAAGACGAACAGGTGATAGAGACAAGCAGCACTAGCTAGGTGAAGGGAACTAGCGGGTATATAAATGAGTAACGCACTCGATTGGGCAAGCGACAGAGAAGATATAACCGCTGTAGAGATGAAAAACAGACGTATATAGTCAGCCGCGCGTGAAACTCTTTGACTATGTATAGCTCATATATCGTATTAATCAGAGTTTTATACGAGTTTTATACGAGTTTTATACATAGTCCCACTCATGACTAGCTCTATTCTTCAACGCCTACAGAATGAGTCCAGATATTGCACCTAGTTTTATGGAATTGCAGAACAGGGGATTCCGGGTATCTACAACGTGACAGGTAGCAATTAATCTCTCATCCGGAAGTAAAAGCCCAACTGTTGTATGCTGTCAGTTTGTCGATAGACCTTTGGGAAAGTCTGCACAATCAGAATGACTCGGATGGCTGTGGTCAATTACGAGGCTCGATAGCATACAATATTCTGTGAGCATGTCTGTAACTCAGCTAGAACAAACATATAATATTCTGTGAACATGTCCGTAACTCAGCTAGAGCTAACATGCGTGCTCTTGCAGTAATATATACGCCCGCGCAACATGTAACCTCAGTTCGTGTTCGTTAGACTCGGACACTAAGAGTTTTATAAGAGTTTTATTAAAGCAACCCTCATCAGTCACTGTTTCGACCTTACTTCGAGTTGCTGAAGCCCTCATAAGCCTGAAGTTCTTTGAGTGTACCCTCATCGCCAAAACTACGTGTACAGCGTATGATTAGTTCTCCTGTAATCTACGTCTAAATTATCCAGGGGCCATGTGCAAGACCGTCGTATGTATGTTGTTCTAGTACTATCCTAATCAATATTTACGGAACTCACTACATCGATCGCTCCTAAGTCCCTGCCGTGGTTACAAAGAACATGGCTTCATCATAAACAAGCTATCACTGACTATCACTATTATGGAGCTAGATCACAGAGACTCGGGATCTAGGAATCTGTTATGTTTTTGTTTTGACTTAATTTGAAGTTGGGTATCCCCGAGGATGCCGAGCTCTTGCTCCGAGACGGGATCAGTCATGTGGTGCCTTGTTGCTTGTTCGTGATCCTCATAATACCGCCGACACGAGGGGAAAGAAGTGTACTTGCCAAGAATGATTTGCATGAGAATCCAAGTATTTTTAGACTGCTTCTGGGGAAACACTAGAACCCGAACAAGTCAGAATATCTTATCGGATCATGATCGGCAATAGATGGCCCTTCTAGATACTCTGCGTCCCACCGCCATACTACCTCCTAAGCGGCGTTTTTCAACTCTGTCATTCCAATATCTACCCTTGTCCGCCGGCGCCTTAGACCTGTGCTCGTGATATGCTGCTGGGAAGATCCAGCGCAACAGTATAAATTCACTCATGGGGTGTAACACTCAGTGGTACAACACTTAGCCACTATGAGCTCCCTCAAAGAGAACACTACCTCAGAACCTTGCTGGATCACCATCGGTGGACCCAAGTCAACTAAGGTCCCCATTTTCAATTACTGGTAAGCCATACTCCCGAGGCTCGTAGGCTGATGTTTGACATGTGTTGTAATAGCCCGTCGATGAGGATTGGCCGAGATAAGCCACCTATCCCGGTCGCCATTGAGTGCCGCTCGATCTCAGAGGCTCTTTCCGTACATTCGGCTCTCTCAGCTGTTATCGATACCCTCGGCCCCACTCCCTCTTCTCAGAAGCTCATTGACGCTGTCTATCGGAGCCAATTGGTGCTGGCTATGCTCGCTTACCGTGAAAGATTCTACGCTGTCGTAGTTGGATCACGAGTCGGTATATACATCTCGAAGTTCGTACGACTTCTCTCTAGCTTCATCACACTGACCATAAATTAGATCTGACGCAATCAAGCAAATGAAGGGAATGAGCTACCCGAAAGCGGCTTCGACACGCACATTTCGTCAAGCGCTCGCTTATATGTTTGCCAAGGGTATTGTATCGCTCATTCCATCCGAGGGTGATGCAGAGGGCAGCATTAATCCGCGTACGTGAGCTATTTACTCCCTATTGACCATGTACCTGATAACCTTGCACTAGTGAACGTCGGAGACGCGGAGCAGGACCAGCAGTCTCCTAGCATTACCTCCCGCTCTCCGTCTCGGAGAGAAGTCGAAGATACACAAGGAGAAGCGAGCTCGAGCGTGGAGCAGCCGAGTAAGTGCATGTTCTTCTGGGCTTGTGATCAATCCTGCTCAATCGGGAATAGGCTCTCCCCATTCATACGGGAGCTTCGATGATGATGTCTTCGTAGAGGCTCGATCCTCGCCCTCTACAGGCGACAGCCTCTCGTTATCCGCTGACGACACTGCACCCCTTGTATACACGCACATACGCAACCTCCGTGGTATCATCGGGTCGGCTAATCAGCCACTGCCAGACAACACACTGGCGAAGGAGCTGCGTGCATCCCTCGGAAAGTACGCTGACTATTTCATCCACTCACAAGGATTCGAGCTCCGTTCCATCAAGATCATCTGCCACGAATATAGAGAGATGGTAGAGGCTAGGAGTGCGGCTGATGCACGTGTAGCTCACACCTCGGGGGATTCTTCGTCCAGGGGAAAGAATGTGGATAGCGCCAACGTGTTCTCTATGCGGATGGCTAGGTACGGCATGCCCGTTGCAGACGGCCGGTTCTTGTATTACATGATCTCTCTGGGGAATCGGCCGTCTGCTTGACGAGACGTGTAGCATGCATATTTGGGCCTTGAGCAAGTACCCGATGTTCTGGAATTCCTGTAAAGTACAATAAACGAATGATCTTGATCTTGGTTATAAAATTTCTTTGCAAATCTGATACCGGTTCAAAATTGACAAGTGTTTCACTGGACGTGCTTTATTGCAAGGCTACTTTATGAAATGCATTGGCGTTGAGTACTTGAGCTCTAAGCGCTTTACATACAAGACTTGGCAGTCAAATACTGCGAACTTCGATTGTAGATACATGAAGGCTGCTAATATACCCGACAAGACTACAAAGAAAACATCTCAACGAATGAGACCGAAGCGACCGTGCATCAACGCGTCCTCTAGCAAAAAATGGGCTTCATCCATTGTATCGCAGGCATGGGACATTGCCCCGTTGACTGCGGCCCACAAGGTAAAGTTTTGTTTTCTCTTGCGGGCATCAGCGACGAGTGGTTTTCGAGAATAAAGAAATTACTTACCCAGAGAAGACACCAATTGCGTGTCCGTACGGCACCCAATAGTAAGGCCCAGAAGTCCTCGCGGGCGGCGTGAAGTATGTGGCCTTGACGCGATTCGGCAAAGTCACCTCGCGCGTTGGTAGGCGAGAAACCAGCCTGCGCATGGTAGGATTGATGTTGCGATTGATAAGACCGTCGCCAGGGATGACGCCCTTCGGCAGGTGGGCTGGATCGAGCGTGCCCAGGCGCGTGAGTTCGATACCTTCAACAATGTTTGCTGAGGCTGACTCGACAGGTCCCAGAGGCGACTGCTCCAAAGGAACTGACACCCCGCGAAGGGCTCGAGTTGAAGGGCCACTGCGTCGCTGCTACAGAGCTAATAAGCCACCATAGCGTCAATGAGATGATATTGACTCACAGCAGCTTGATACGTTTGGCGGATCTTGGCCGCTTCGAGCTGCCGAGTAACTTCCTCAGCGGCGCAGCTGTGGAAGAATCTATAATAATCGAGTAAGCATAGTTGAAGCAATAATAATAGGGATGTATAGTACGTCGCAAAGGTCTCATCCTCGTAGATGGTGTTGACCTCGTGGCTGACGGCGATAGCAATCAGGGTCTTGAACTCTTTCCTCCACGAGGGAGAAAAGAGGTCCTCGATGACTTTGTCGGCGATGAAGTTGACTGAAGCGAAATGAGAAAAGGACCAATCAGATAAAAAAAATGAAGATTTGCTTACCGCAACATCTAGAGAGGCACCCGACGGTGGCCTCATTCACCTCGCCGTCACCGACAATGTTCATACCGAGGTGCCCGCAGTTGAAGTTGACGGTAAAGTCCTTCTCGAGCCTGGCATTGATGAACATTGTCTGGGACGAGTTGAGGCCGGGAGGTGAGTTGGGAGGGGCGCGAGGGGCAGAAGAAGGAGGAGGGCTCCCTGAGCTATCAGACAGAGTAACGGGGTCGGTGAGAGTAGGAGAGAGAGATCGGCCGGCGTGAGCGTACGACATGGTGGGCTGAGTGACAAGAACGGGAACGAGTCGCGCGTTTATATGTCAGGAGGCTACGCGCAGCTCGACGACTGCGTGTGGGTAGGCCCTCTCCATACGAGGGCGTTTGTCATACGGGTGGTGCATAATTTGCAACGGGTAGCTGCTCCGTTGTATGTATCCGAGTATCTGTGTGGTTAGATAGAAGCATAAGGAGTGAAGCTCGAAGCTAGGATAGAAGCCTTACACGCTGTGATCCGCGACCGAATATGATCAACCGGATACTATGAGCAGCCAGGAAAGTGGAACTTACGACGGCGTCGTGACTAATGATCTTGTAGAAGTTTCGCTGACCGATTGACTAATGCAGAAAGCGAGACGCCCGAGGATTGGGTGTATAGCTGAATGAGCTAGGGAGCCGTCGAGAGCGAGTGAAGCGATCTCACCACCCGGTCGTGGAGGACGTATACCCGCCGACTGGGAGCCCGCGTCTTCACCATGCCCTTTAGTCCGAGAGGGAAGAAACGAGGATATGAGTCCACCTATAATCTTCTCTCCGACGAGAACGAAGATGACCCGGATCTCGTGAAGAGTTACTCACAGACGGTCGAACTCCCATCGGGTCGTACTAGTAGGTGGCTGAAAACCTCTCAGACCCAGCGGTACGAGCCTTCGAGCTTGAGTTCGGCATTGATCCAACATGATGACCTGCTGGACGACTGGAATCCATCGTTGGAAGATGCATCATCTCAGTTCCCTGATGATGACGACTCGGACGATGACGAGTCCAATGACACACTGGAACCGACACCGCGTGAGCACGTCGTTATAGAACATACCTCTAACAGACGAGGTTCTTCGTTTGCGGTAGATCTGTGTCCATTGTTATCTGAACTATGTCTGATCGCGTAACAGGACGCACCTTTGCGCACGTGGGCGGGAGACAATCGGCAAACAGGGTACCGACAGGAGTACCTCGACGAAGAAGTTAGGGCTGAAGGTTGCGGTCGTGCAGCGGACACATCCTGCAACTGTGAACGCGGACATCCCAGAGTCTACCGGTGCGAGACGTGTTCGGGACGTCATATGACCTGCAGAGAATGTCTCTTATCGGCGCACTCAAAACTACCTCTACATCATGTATCGGTGAGTACTCCATCTTCAAGTTGGATAATGCACAAACAAGAGTTCTTACCAGTTTTCGTTAGGAATGGAATGGATCGTTCTTCCAGAGGGTGTCTTTGTCGTTGCTCGGATTAAGGGTGCAAGTGGGTCACGAGGATGGCTCGCGATGCGTCCTCCCTTATCCGGGCCACCCGGATTTTGTTGTTATCCACGCCAACGGTCTTCACCATATACATCTCGATTACTGCGGGTGCGACCGCAAAGTATCCTACCGTCTGCAGCTCCTCCGTTTCGGATGGTACCCTTCTACAGTTGATATAGTCCGTACAGTGTCAACAGAAGAGGCGCTCGCGCAGTTCTCAGCTCTCACTTGCAAAACGAAGGTTTCTGCCTACGGCTACTACGAGGCTCTTGAATGCTTGACCGATCCCCTGGGCTTAAACGTTCCTAATGTATGTAAGGATACAACCAAGCGACAACAATCTCATCTCTATGCTAGCGTCGATATAAGGCTTTTCTTCGTACAATCCGTCAGCACGACCACGTCAAGCTCATGAAAGAGGCCGGACGTGGCAATGTTGTCTCCGGGATTGAGACTACAAAACCGGGCGAGCTTGCGGTCCAGTGCCCGGCCTGTCCTCACCCCGGAATCAACCTTCCTCCTGGCTGGGAGGAGGCCGACGAATCTCAAAAGTGAGAACTCTGTTGCATGCTTTCGCGCTGTATTTATGTCTGTTAGATTTTTATATTGCCTCTTCCTGGCGATGGACGCGAACTTTCGGCTCAAGAATCGCAACCGCGGGGAATCATCGACCGATGTAGAGCTCCATAACGGCCTCGCATACTTTGTTAAAACAGGACCATATATGGAGTACATCCGTTCTAGCGAGGCCCAACGAGACGTATGTATCGTTTGCTTACTTCTGGTGTGCATCGAGGGCTCATAACGTTAATAGATATCTACTTGTTCTGGATTTCGCTCGCTATCTAGTGCAGAGACCAAGTTCTCGCACGGACTTCTGGCCACGGGCGTAGCCATGGTCATATGCGCTCGCCATGAATTCATTCGCGCGTTAGGAGTAGGTGATTTACAAGCCGGTGAACGGTCAGTAAAATCAATAATATACTTCGGCTTCACCCTTACCGAGAGTATCAGGTACCCCAACATGGACTATATATTCTTCTCGACAATGTCGATGGTTCTTCTGCTGCTCGTCGTGATTTCATACGATATCGTATGCCAGTGGAAGGTTAATTTATTCAAGCGCATGGATTCGTTACCACCAGAACTGCAGCTTTCTATATTGATGCTATCTGATATCCTCTTGTTCGGAATTCCAAAGTTTCACGCGCCCGGCCACAACGAGAAGTGTGCCACCCAATACTCTCTCAACCTCATGTGGGGTGCGGGGCGTACAGATGGAGAGGGAATCGAGCGACGTTGGGGAGACCTTGGCAGAGCAAGTACTATGACTAAGGAGATGTCCCCGGGAGCTCGACACGATACCCTCGACATTCTTTTTACCTTGCATAACTTATCGAAGTACTGCATGCTGGGATTAACTCTTCGGGCGCGGTTGCTCGTGGCTGTAGACAACCGGGGATTCCAGCGTAAAGCACTGGCCGCCTTCAGCGCCTCTATCAGCTCGGAGGATCGCCAAGTTTGGATCGACATGGCAGTAGCTTGGGAAAAAAACAAGGAGAAGCCCAACCCATACTTATATACTCACAAGGGTAAGGTAGACGCTTCGTCAGATAATACATTTCGCTGATGTCCTACCAGGTATTACCGAAACCGAGGTTCGCGCGAGGCTCGCCCAGAAAGAGAAGGACATAAAGATACTTCCTCACGATATGCCTCCCAGCATTGTCGTGAAGCAAGCGTTATCCATTGAAGACAAGCAGTACGTTCACCGTCAATACATGACATGGTTCTACACTAATGCAGAAACATAGGCGCCGCCTACGCGATGACCTGTCACGGCTTAGAGATCTTACAGCGGACGAGAGGGCACAAATTGACGTACGTCGCGCGGGCATCAGCCGAGAGATCTCGAAGCTTCGAGATGTTCAAAAAGTTTATATGCCGGGACTGGACGTCGTCATAAACAACAAGGGTGGCACTGGCGACCTCGAGCACGAACCCGAAAAGGCTCTGCTCTTTCTGCCCTCAGCACTAGATGACCAGGAACGTAAAATCTGTACTCACAGTTTTGCTGAGACGGAGACCGAGCTGCGTATAGCTCAAGGCCATGCGTCCCTCGACAGATTACGCACATTGCTCCAGACGAGGTATCACTTTACTTCTCACCGGAATATTAACACACGAGGGCAACGGCCGACAACTCGAGTACAGACCTTGATCAGGGAATACAGCCGGAAGATCGAGGCTGTACGGCTGAAGTACACAGAGGGATTGGACGCCTTGAAGTTGCTTGATCCACAGGGACGGTGGCAGGACAGTTTGAAACCACTCACCTTGGGCGATCTCCGAGCACTCCAAGAGCCACTCATAGACATTGCGACGACTAAGCAAAAGGCAAAAGACCTGCAACAAGGGTTAGGAGAAGGTTATCGAACAGTATCATGGATCTGGACGGGCCGAACGAACGCGGGCGATCACGATGATCGCGAAGGTATGGTGTACTCACATCATTTACGCCCCTAGGCACCTAACACATCACCTCAGATCTCCGTGTTGAGTGGTTGAAATCGCGGGCGCGTACGAAACGGTGGGAGGAGGAGGTCGACTTGCTGAAGGAGGAGATGCGGCGCGTCCGAGCGTTCTTGGAATACAAAGCCCGATGGTGGGAGAGCCGCGCGGTTCTGGACTCCACGGGTGCGAGATCGGACGCTTCGAGGCCGGGTGGGGAGGAGGCGGGAGGAGTGGCAATGGCCGTCTGCACTGATAGCCCAGCGCCTACATGGTCCTTCTTGCAGCACCAAGCGCTCGCGTCGGGCGTGCAAGCGCACGCTCTCCGTCAAGCCCACCAGCAGCGTCTCTTGAGGATGCACTTCACGGACCTATGGGAGAAGAAGTGGTCAGTAGAAGAAGCCGTACCTTCTATGGGCCTGGAGGGCCACCCAGATTTTGATTCCGACGCCGAGGATGATGGAGGAGGCAAGGAGGCGATGGATGTCGACGGCGAGGACGACGGCGAGGACGACGCGAGCGACGGGGAGCCAAATGCGGAAGGGCCGGAAGATACCGCTAACGTATAGGTTTCCCTGCTTAGTAATTAACAATGATACCTGGTTAACGTGAATAAGCCGTCTGTTTAAGTAATATGAAATTGACCGAAGACCGGCGCCGAGCAGCTTCCCTAATGGGCATGAACCGCCACCAGCTGAGAGTAGTGGTAAGAACCAGGATTTTGAGTGAACCAGGATTTTGTGCCATTTGGAGAGGATCCATCCATTTTGGCATGGAGAAAGTGGGATGTGCCATAATATTACATGTAATCACACTGCCAGTGGTGCCAGAACTGCCCGAGTCAGACTCCTCGCTGTCATCCTGTTGGATCAACTCGCCAGCGAGCGCGAACGCGTCGATGATGCGCTCGTCGTCAGCTTGATGGATGGATGTCCAGAACCTTTTGGTAAGTTTACCGTAGTGGTCCTTCGAGAACGGGAGCGGGGCAGAAGCAGAGGGAGCGGCGGGAGTGGAAGCGGCGGAAGCGGGGGCCCCAGCGGCCTGAGCTTGATCCTCAGCAACGTTGTCGCTGGCATTGCCGTCGCTATCGTCGGCCTGCTTCTTCTTTCCCTTCACCTTCGCCTTCGCCTTCTGTGCCCTACCCTTCTTCGGTCTAGCCTTGGCGTTGGCCTGTGCCATGTACTTCTTCGCCTTGGTGAATCCTTCGCTGTTCGCGGAGCATCCCGAGCGGATCGTGCTCTCGAGAGCATCGCCGACGTTCCCGAGCTTGCCTTCGATGTTCATTTCGAGCGCTCGGCAGGCCTAGATACCATCAGTAAGAATTGATTGAAGAGATAATGAAGAGACTTACAGCTGAGGCGGCCAAGGCAAAGGCACCATAAGGGAGATATTCCGGCTCATGATATTTCGCCAGATCGGGGACGCGGACGAAGCCCTGGATAGCCTGGAAATGACAAGAGAGAACCATCAGAAAGTATGAGCCCCGGAACGAGCCAAAAAGGTCTTCCGTTCTCGAACTTCTCGTACACGAATGCGTTGTGAAGAAGTAGCTCCTTGGAGTAGGTGATGCGCTCCTCCTCCTCGATGGTGTTGCTAGCCGGCAAA